GACCTCTAGATAGGCTGACTAGATTCACCAGAAGGGCAAGTAGTGGGGAATGGCTGGGCTGACAATACAGCAGACAGTAGCAGGGATATCAGAGTATAAGGGCTCTTGTGGGGGGAGGGAGGCTGTGGGGGGGTGCTACCTAAGAAGTGCTGAATAAATAAATAAATAATAATAATTCTTCAAAGCATAAAAATTTGCTCTTTAATAATTAGTAGATGTGAAAAACATTACCGCTGAAATCTACCTGATGACTTTATATCCATGCTCAGATGCCAAGGAGCTCAGAAAGTAACTGTGACTAGTAATAATCAGATATATAGAGATTAGAAACGCATGTGCATCTTAGTGTCAATTGTATTAAAAATGAATTTTTCTATATGAAACTGTGTATTTTAATAATAAAATGGAGATCTTTTTTAAAGTTTAAAACCCCACTTAATTTTATGTCTTACAGGGTTTATACAGAGTACAATACTGTATAACTGTATTAATTCAACTACAAACCTAAAAATTTACAGCCAATTTTGAAAGAGATGCATCTTAGCTCTGGAAATTATTATTGAATATGTCAATGCTGTTGTAATGAAATGCTTCTTCTAATTATATGGTTATTAAATAAATAATTAAAAAAAACAAAAGCTAAAACATGATGCTGGTGTGTGGAAATAAGCGACTTGGCAGAGTGGTCCTAGTTAACTCTCTAAAACATATATAGTAGACACAAGTTCGGGGGGGTGGGGTGGGTTGTCATCGTACATACATGAAAGTAAGCACTCATGGGCATACAGGAAGGGAACAGCAAGAACCACTCACTGAACTGTTATGTGTTACTACTTCCCTTTACGTAGGCAATCTTCCTTTCCATCCTTTAAGATCCCTGCCACCTACGTTCTCTAACCAGTAAAACAGGCATGGAGCTTTCTTTCTTGAGATTCTTGGGGGGGGGGGGTAGGAGGATGTATATTTCATGTAGCCCAGGCAAACCTGAAACTTGTTATGTAGCCAAGGATGACCTTGAACTCCTTGATCCTCCTGCTTTTATCTCCTAAGTGCTGGGATTATAGGCATGTACTAACATGCCTGGCTTGCTCTCCTCACTTAATCATTATTGTCTATATGATAATTTGTAATAAATCACATAATTTTATATTGTTATTATGCTTTGACCCCCTTATAGGAAGGCCCATGAGCTATATGTTGAGCTTAGATTTCTCTTATGTTCTCTACAGTACCTAGCACAGTGGTGGGTAGAAAGCTACTTCATAATATTTGTAGACTAGTTTCCTATCCAAACTCTTATAAGTGAATGACAAAGTTATCATTGATTATTCAATATAGTTTAGCTACAATGTTGTGGCATTGCATTAGGTCTTAGAGCATATGTATCTGTGATCATCAATTTTTGTAATTTTTTTTTTTGTGTGTGTGGTTCTGAGAATAGATCCTGGGGCTTCACACATGCTAAGCAATTACTCTACCACTGAACTATACTCCCCATTTTTTTTTTTTTTTTTTTTTTTTTTTTTTTTTTTTGAGATAAGGGTCTCAAGATGTAGCACTGGCTGGTCTGGAACTCGTTATATAACCAGGACAGCCTTGAACTCACAGAGATCTGCTTGCCTCTGCCTCCCAAGTGCTGGGATGAAAGGCACTGCCACGGTATCCAGCTCTTATTTTCTTGAGACAGGATAACCCACTATGTTCTTGAACTCTCCAACCTCCTGTTTCAGCCTCCTGAGTACAAGGTCTACAAGCACAGGCTACTATATCCAACTTCACTGACTATTTGTATATATTCTTTGCCTTTTCCTGACAGAAACCAAACTGAGTTCCTGGAGTGAAGAGTCCATTTAAAAGTCTCTTCTGGTCCTAGGTGTAGCTATGGAGACCACATGCCATGCTTCTGACCAGTAGGGTAAGAAAGTACTATACAGAATCATCATTTATGTTTTCCTAGTTTGTATAGCGCATACAGAATCATATTTGGAACGTTAACATTTCTGACAAAAACTTTCAAGCTGGAGAGACGGCTGAGCAGTGTGGAGCATGTTCAGTTACCCGCCCCCACATCTGGTGGCTCACAACCACCTGTTACTCCAGCACATACCCGGCCACACACACACATAATTAAAAATAATAAAAATAAATTTGCTTTAGAAACTTTCAATCAAGGGGGGAGGTGATCCTACCAGCTAGTAACGATACCCTAAACCCAGAATAATTAATACAATACAGCAGAAGTGCAGAAATTGATTTTTTATATTAAAAAAAAAAAGTCTATACAGGATGTGTGGGAAACAAAGAATGGTTTCTGAGGTAGGTCAAAAAATAATTCATGACCTCCCATTAAAGAACCCTTCAGCACTGTCTTGATACCATAGTCCTTTGCACATTTTCTCTGGCCCCAGATCCCTTCTCACCTTCAAAGATTCAATCGTGGCTTGCTTGTAAACCTTTCCTCCAGGATGTTTCTTCTGTGGGCTATTCTGGATTCTAGGTGTTCGAATGACGAATTTATCCATTGTTAGGGAATTCCAACTACCTTCAGGTGCTTGAGTGATATTCTAATCAAGAAAAAGTAAAGACTAAAACTTCAAGACCGAGATGTGTATTCCCAGAAGTGCCACGACTGGATTTTCTGGAAACATTCCTGAATTACGAGGACTCTTGAGTGGTATTTACAGGAAGTAAGATTTCAGGGATGGGGGCCGGTTTGCTCTTCTTTAGAACTGAAACTATACAATGATAAGTTTACTTCCTGGTTAGGAGGTTCCTACCTTCCAGAAGGAGATGCTAAGGAGAGATGAGGATTCCAATACCGGAGGTTGGAGGGGGGGTGGCTGTAACCAGACACGACTCGGACGACGGACTTCTAAGCCCTCTCCTAGTTTAAGATGGGTTGTTCCGGGGTTAGGGTTTCACTGGGCTCAATGAAGCTCGGTGGTCAGAGGACCCTAATGATGGCTGTTAGGCTCTGGATCCTGATCAGCTCCCAGCGCTCAGGGACCCGAGAAGGGGCACCCACTCACAGCCACACGTGAAACCCACTAGGCAAAGCAGTCCTGGCAACAACTGGGCATTCGGTCCTCTGCGCCCCTACTCGGGTCACACGTCGAGCTGTCTGCACGCTTTCCGGGAGCCCAGTTCGTCAGTGGCGGGCCGCGAACTACACTTCCCAGTACGCACCGCGCGGCGTGCGGCGGCTGTAGCTCTAAGGTGCTCCTACTCGCAGCACTTGACGGGCCGCGGAGAAAGAACTACAAGCCCCAGCCTACCCCGCAAAGAAGGGCGGTGTTGCTCCGCGCTCACACTCGCGATAGTCGAGCCGGACCTCACGCCGGCCCAGGAGAGGAGCCTAGTCTCAGAGGCGGCCAGGGAGGCAGCAGCTTGGGCGGAACAGGGCGGAGCCGAGACGCTCTCGGAGGCGGAAGCGGAGGCCGGAGGGGCGGGGAAAGAGGCTGGCTCGGAAGGAGGAGAAACCCTGAAAAGAAAATAGCAACAAGCCGAGCTGCAGTGACAGAGGGGAACAAGATGGCCGCGCCGAAGGGGAAGCTCTGGGTCCGGGCCCAGCTGGGGCTACCGCCGCTGCTGTTGCTGACCGTGGCGCTGGCCGGAGGCTCGGGGACCGCAGCGGCCGAAGCGTTTGACTCGGTCCTGGGGGACACAGCGTCCTGCCACCGGGCTTGTCAGCTGACCTACCCCTTGCACACCTACCCCAAGGTAGGGCCCGTCGGAACCGGGCTTCCACCCCTTGCCGCCCGTCTCTTGGCTCCCTACTCGGCTCGGGGACCGTAGCGGTGGATCGGCGCTTCAGGCGCACCCGTCCACCCCACCCCCTCTAGCTCCTGTGTTTCCCTCCCTGTTCCTGCCGGCACCCTGCTCCTGCTGTAATTACCGGAAGTTTGTGCTGCAGGACTCGGTGATAGGCTGGGGGACACAAAGATGAGAAAGAGGTGAGCTCTTGGGAGTTTGCCGGGCTGCTGGAGAGTGGACCACTTGCAGGAGTAGAAGAATTAGATTGATGAGGCGTCCTGACTAGAAGGCGCCGGTGCACATGTGCACAAAAGATTGACTCTCGCTGGGCGTGGTGGCGCACGCCTGTAGTCCCAGCACTTGGGAGGCCGAGGCAGGCGGATCTCTGTGAGTTCAAGGCCAGCCTGGTCTACATAGTGAGTTCAGGCCAGCTGGGCCTACAGGGAGACCCTGCTTCAAGAAGACAAAAAAAGATTGACTCTCAGCCCGAGTGTATTGCTCTCCTTTCTGGTCCCGGAGTCGGGCAAGTTGACAGCTCTGCTGTGGTCTGAATGTTAAGTCAGCCCCAAGAGTTGTGTGACCACAAGAAGGGAGGGCTGTCTGTGTTGACTGTGTGCTAGACTCTACCACTGAGCACTGGATGCCTTAGAGAAGCAGCAGTTAGGTTTCTGCAAAAACAAGCACCTTACTCACCCAGTGCAGACGGTAGGGAATCCGTGGAGTAGGTAAGAAATGCCCCTGTTCTGCGGAAGGCGTTCACTGTTGAGCGAAAGGAGGGACCTACTGCTACCCTGCCCCCTCCCTACTGCTGCCGCCTTGGCCTTTAATTCTGTCTCCCGTTCAAGCTGTTTTCCAGCTTCTTATAATTCTGTTTACTCAACATTCTAAATTGCTTGGTGACTCTCTCCACACCTTTCCCATATATAATTTGGGTACATGCCCCCTCCCTGCTTTGTAAGCACTTTTGCTGATGTTGCTGGTGTTTTTCTTTCGTCTCAGAGACGTGTGCTATTTGCTTAACCGTGTGGCTAGCCCTATTTACCTTACTCAACTAAAGTGACATCCCAGGAAGACAGTTCCAGTGACGTTTAGGATGTTCCATCTTGGCAGGTGCTTTCGGATCTTTGAGATGAAAAGTTGTACATGCTGTACCTTCCAGTATTTTGTTTACCTGCATTCCTAAGGGTCATCAGTTCAAAACAATATAACCCCACAAAATTGTAGGAGATGGGGTTAGCCTTAAATTTTTGAAGTCAGAAATTAATGAGAGAAATGAAGAGCTGGACATGTAATGACAGCCCTCAGAACTGAGGTTAGAGGAGAGAGAGTTCAAGGCCTGCCATGGGCTATGTACCTTGGGGAGTGAGGAGGATTCTGATTTCCAGATGTAAATCAATAAACCTCACATTGCTAAAAGGCTTCCATGAGAAAGTGCATCAATACTGTTTGGCCTAGAATTAGGCTCAGATTTTTAAAAATATTTTATTTATTATTTTTATTTTATGTTATGTGTGTATTGCCTGAATGTAGGTAAGTGCACCTGTGTGCTAGCTGCCATGTGGGTGCTGGGATTCAAACCCGGGTCAGATTTATTTTATATTATGCTAGTGTTTGTTCCCTCTAAAGATTTTCCTAGCTGGGCTGGAGAGATGGCTCAGTGGTTAAGAACACTGTTCTTGCAGAAGACCCGAGTTCTTATCCCAGCACCCACATGGCAGCTAACAACTGTCTGTAACTCCAGTCCCAGGGAATCCAACAGCCTCTTCTGACCTCCAAAGGCATTTCATGACATGGGTGTACTTACCTACATGCAGGCAATACACGCATACACATAAAATAATAAAAAATTTTTTTAAAAAAAGGTTTTCCTAGCAAATTTGTAGTATAAGCCAGAGTGCTGTGAAAATAATTTGAGAAGATACTCGTACCAGGAACCTTTAGGTATCTCTTGGATTTTTTTTTTTTTTGTTCATTTGTTTGTTTGTTTGAGACAGGGTCTTCCTGTAGGCTCAGCTGGCCTGGAATTCACTGGAATCCCAGAACTCGGGAGGCAGAGGCAGGTGGATCATTCCAGGCCAGCTGGGGCTACAGAGAGATCCTGTCTCAAAAAGACAAAAAAAAAAGTTAACACAGAACTTGGCACTGGGCATTTCTTGTGTTGTTATGTCTAAAATGAGTACAGTATAATATAAATGTATAATCCTGCTAGTATGCAGGATTAATGTGAGACTATCATTTACAACTGAGGAAACTGGGCACCAGAGAAAATAAGTAATTTGCCTGAAGTCATGCAGAAAAAGTGGTAATGCTGAGCCTCTACCTGATTCCTCAGGTAGGCTCTTCGGCATGCCATATGGTTTTCTGAAGTTGGTTCTAGATGCCTTTTGGGCATATCTGACAGCAGATCTAAGTCGGGCACATTAGCATTATTGTAATCCCAATAGGAGGGCACTGAGGAGGAAGATTGGAGTTTCAGGCCTCTTTGGGATATATAGTGCTGGGTCACATAGTAAGACTCCATTGCTTTAAAAAAGACAAGCATATCTGAAAATGGAATGTCATTTGGTATAGTTCATGGTAATGAGCTCCTGCATACTGCTTCCTGTGTGCAATATGAGGCTACTCCCCAAACAATTCTTTCACTGTTTCACAGAGCCTGTTAACTGGGCTAGAGAGATGGCTCAGCGTTTAAGAGCACTGACTGCTCTTACAGAGGACCTGGGTTCTATTCCCAGCACCCACATGGCGGCTATGAACCATCCTTAACTCCAGTTCAGGGGAATCCAACGCCCCCTTCTGACCTCCTCGGCATTGCATGACACGGGTGCACTCACATACATGTAGGCAATACACACATACACATAAGATAAAAATAATAAAATATTTTTTTAAAAAGCCTGTAAACTGTAAAAATTAATCAGCTATGAAATGTCTTTTCACTTTAACAATACATGCAGCCAGAACTAAGGTCTAAAAATGTTGTAAAAGATTTATTTATTTATTTATTTTTATTTTTTTTGTCTTTTTGAGACAGGATCTCTTGTAGCCCCAGCTGTCCTGGAACTCACTAGGTAGAGCAGGCTGGCCTCAAACTCACAAGATCCGCCTGCCTCTGCCTCCCAAGTGCTGGGATTAAAGGCATGCGCCACCACACCTGGCTATTTTTTTCAGTTTTATGTGTATGCATGTATTGCCTGCGTGTAGGTAAGTGCACCCGTGTGGTGCAGTGCCCGCGGAGGACAGAAGAGGATGTCAGATCCCTTGGAACTGGAGTTAGGGACAGTTGCTAGCTGCCATGGGTGTTGGGATTCAAACCCGGATCTTCTGCAAGAACAACCAGGGTTCTTAACTGCTGAGCCATCTCTCCAGCTCCTGTAAATGTTGTAAAAGATTTTACAACTCTAAAATCTTCAGAGTTGTATAATAAAGCTTATTTAATATCAGACTTGGCATCATCTCTTCTCATGGATTGTTGCTACTGCATTAATTTTATTAATTCTGCTGGAAAGAAATGCATGCCATTGTATTCCATTGGTTGTTAACTAGTATATGCACATGCTGTTTCCTCATTAGGTCCTTACCAATTTGTATACAGTTGATCACACAGTTACATTTGTTATATACTATATTCCATCAAAAGAAAGAAAAGCTTGTTGATAACATTGTTATTAGTCTTCCAGTAATGAAGAACTATCCTGTTTTGAGTTTCCACACATATACACTGATGCTTGTAATTGTTGCTTTCTACTTTAAAAATATATTATGGGGCTGGGTATGGTGGTGCATGCCTTTAATCCCAGCACTTGGGAGGCAGAGGCAGGCAGGTGGATCTCTGTGAGTTCAAATGGGGCCAGATGTCATGGTGCACGCCTTTAATCTTAGCACTCCAAGAACTTGGGAGGCAGAGGCAGAGGAATCTCTGAGATGGAGGCCAGTCTGGTTCTACATAGCAAGTTCCAGGTCAGCTAGGGCTACAGGGAGACCCTTTCTCAAAAAAACCTGTATGTTTGTGTGTGTGCATGCACACACATGTGTTATTAATACTGCTAATATTTTAAACCACCCAGTAAATTTTGTGACTGAAAGGAAAAAAACAGCTGGAAGCCAAATATCCAAGATCTTTGCCACATATGGTAGTTTTTAGTTCTTTATTTTATTTATAGACAGGGTTTTAAGTATAGTAGGCTGGTCTCAAACTCCCTAAGCAGGAAGACAGCCTTGTTGGGGCTGACATTGTTCAGTGGTTAAGAGCACTTACTGTTCTTTCAGAGGACCTCATTTCAGTTCCCAAAATCTACAATGGTGGCTAACAACAGCCCATAACTCCAGTTCCAAGGGATCCAGTGCCCTCTTCTGGCCTCCTCAGGCACCTGCGCACATGTGTTGCACATATACTGAACACGGGCTCACACATACATAAATAAAAAACAAATAAAAATTGTTCTATGTGAACACTTATAAGTAGATATCTCATCTCATCTTTGTCTTTGACCTTTATCTCACCATTTGCCATACAAAGCTAGTCATGACACCTTGGTTGAGCTGATGACCATGAGCATGGATGTGGAGAAGCACGCTAGTAACCTAGAGTACTTGCTTACTCCTTTCTACCTATTTAAGGTTCTGAATGTCACTGCTATTTTTATTTTCATGGTTTCTCCCAATTTTCAGTTTTTTTCCCCTACAAGTTAATATGGGAATTTTCCCTACTGCAGAATATAGGAAAGGATGGTATTTATGAACTGTGACTGGGATGTGGCTCAGTTGTTAGCATACTTGCCTAGCATACACAGAAGGCCCCTGGGTTCAGTCTCCTTCCAGCACCACATAAACTATGTATGGTAACACACTTCCATTAATCCCAGCACTCCAGAGGTGGAGGCAGGAGGATCAGAATTACAAGGTTGTCCTCCTGCTTAGGGAGTTTAAGACCAACCTACTGTACTTGAAACCCTGTCTATAAATAAAATAAGGAACTAAATAAAACTATAGTATGTGGCAAAGATCTTGGATATTTAGCTTCTAGCTTTTTTTTTTCCTTTCAGTTACAAAATTTACTGGGTAGTTTAAAATAAATATTAATTTTGTTTTCTTGACATTTTTCTGCTAAAAGAAAAATCTTATTATTTATTTAATTTTTGGTAATCCTTTCTATTCTTAATTTCCCAGGAAGAGGAGTTGTATGCATGTCAGAGAGGTTGCAGACTGTTTTCAATTTGTCAGTTTGTGGATGATGGAATTGATTTAAATAGGACCAAACTGGAATGTGAATCTGGTAAGATACTATGCTAATGACATCAGCTGTGCATGACATTGGGGCTTTCTTTGAGTTGGGTTATGCTTTTTATGTATTTTTCCTAGAAAATGACAGACATCCTGTTTAAACTAGTCACTCAACATACAGCAATTGTAAATTTAGAGTTTTAATAGATGTTGCTAAAAATTTCATGGGCTTTAATTCATCTTGTTTGTTAAGACAATGTTTATTTTGTGCTGTAGATAGGACACTTTGTTTAAGCATTCTGTTTAGAAAAATGCAGTAGTAATTACCCAATTTATAATTCATCACTACCTTTTCATAGAATAATTTTCTTAAACCTTTCAGTCAATCAGTTAGTTGACATAGAGCCAAGATTTTTACTAATCTGAAAACCTTTGACTCTGAAGTATTTAATAGTGAATTCTTTATCAGTCATGCCAGTAAAAATAACCAAAGGCTTTGTCACCAGTTAACTACTATTACCTTTTGGTGAAAGAGATGTATTTAATGAAAGAAACCTATAATCAGGGCACAGTGAACGTTTAACTTTGTAAAGAACTATAATGGGATCTTGACCATTTTTTGCAGCTTAGTCAGTGTAGCAGGACACAGCTTTTCCCTGTCACTGTGCCAAGGCTCACAGTATCTGTGATGTTGTGACCTTATTTTTATGACTTACTCTCCTAACTGGCCATCTTGATATATGCAAAGTACTGTTCAGTTTATTATCTAGTACCTCTGAGAAGTATTTTACAAATTCATGACTGAGTAGAGAAGAAAAAGAAGATGACCACAGTGGTACAATGCTATATCCCAATAAAGAAATGACTAGTGAGTATATTTGATATAGGCCCATTTCAACTTTTTCTTGTCTTTTCAGTGCTAAGGATTGAACCCAGGACCTAGTATATGCCAGGCAAGTTATCTACCACTGAGCTACAGCCCTAGCCCTATTTCACCTTTAAAAATTCCCTACTATAAAACATTGTCTAGTTCAGTTTTCTTAGAACTTAAGGTATTAGACTGATTGCTTCATTTATTTTTCCCTTTCCATGTTCTCAACTTTGTTTCTGAGCTGAGTAATCTCAAATATTTATGTAAATGACTAACATGCATTATTTCACTCAACATCTTGGATTAAGACTTCCATTTCAGACTTTAAAAAAAATCAAACTGGGCCTGGTAGCACAGGCTTGTAATTCAAGTTATTTGGGAGTCTGAGGCAGAAGGATTTTAAGGTCAGGCTTTGCCTAGACTATAGAGTGAATTAAAAGCCAACCTAGGCAACTTGGTGAGACCCTCTCTCAAAATAAAAGTCAAAAGAGGGTTAGGGGTCTAGCTCAGTAGTTGAGCATTTGCCTAGCTTATAGGAGGACTAGAAAGAAAAGAAAAAAATGTTCCCATCACCCAACATTTGACAAGGCCTATAGAAATCAATAGCAGGATTACTACTCAGTGCCTCAGCTCAGGTCCTTACACAGCCAACAAATGATGAACCTAAATTCTCTGTGGCATCTTTAGGACATCAGTCCAGTGCTTTCTGCTCCACACACTTTAGCTGTGAGGACTCCCTTATTTTAATGTCACCATGTAGAGACAGGTATGGAATTAAAAGACTTATATATGAGACATTGACTTGGGGGAGAGAGATAAGAGTTCTATCAAAAGATTTCTTGCCAGGCATGGTGCCACACGCCTTTAATCTCAGCACTTGGGAGGCAGAGGCAGACGCATCTCTGTGAGTTCAAGGCCACCCTGGTCTATATAGTGAGTTCCAGGACAGCTGGGACTACAGAAAGACCCTGTTTCAAAAAGAGAAAAAATATAAATAATAAATAAATAAATAAATAAATAAATAAATAAATAATAAAAAGATTTCCTACTATTGCCCAGGTTTGGAAATTCATAGTGATGAAGTAAGTGCTTATAAGAAATTTTTATTTTTTTATTTTTATTTTATGTGTATGCATGTATTGCCTACATGTAGGTAAGTGCATGTATGTTGTGCAGTGACCACAGAAGTTAGAAGAGGCTGTTGGATCCCCTGGGACTGGAGTTACGGGCAGTTGTTAGCTGCCATGTGGGTGCTGAGATTCGAACCTAGGTCTTCTGCAAGACCAACCAGTGTTCTTAACCACTGAGCCATGTCTCCAGCCCCGAAATTTTTTTTTTATATATAACATGGTTGAATCCCTTTCTTTTCCAGCTTTCTTTACCATCCCTTCTTCTCTTTTCTAAGACTTGGCTTTTTTCTTTCAGCATGTACAGAAGCATATTCCCAACCTGATGAGCAATATGCTTGTCATCTTGGTTGCCAAGATCAACTGCCATTTGCTGAGTTGAGGCAAGAACAAGTAAGAAACAATACTGCCTTGTTACTACCTTCTGATGCACTCAGACTTGTATTGCTTAGCATGGTCATTGCCGACATGCTTTTATTCCAGGTTCTATTTATAGAGTTTTCATCCGTCAAAATGTGTGTACAAATGGTGATGTTAATTAATTCTTTTTTAATATTTTATGTGTATGAGTGTGTTGCCTGCATGTATGTAAGTGCACCTATGTCATTAAATGCTTTTCTGTTACAAAATTCTATTTATAGTCAGAATCTCATTTTGTTTCTCCTATCTTACATAATTCAGTATTTCCAATTACATATAGATTTAAGTCCAAGCTGCTTATTCAACCTAGTTCCTGATAGCCTCTACAATGTCATCTCTTAACGTTCCCTACCCCCACATACTATATTCTGAATGTATTGAGGAAAAGTTCTTAATTTTTCAAAAAAAAAGCTTTTATTTAATTTTTGGACAGTAATTTTTAAAAAATTTGTGCATAGGAAAAATAGTTTGTATAAAATCTAAGATACAGAGTATGTACATTCATAAGAGTATGTCTCTGTTCTTTCTACTCAGCATCTATGAAAACTGCCCTACTTCTGTATTTGCAAGGTGCTCGGGTTTCCTCCATTACATAGCCAAGTTCTCTGATGCAGAAATAGTTTATGAAACAAAACAAAGAACTGGAGAGATTGCTCAGTGGTTAAGAGTGTCTGCTGCTCTTTCAGAGGACCTGGTTCTGTTCCATCACCCACATTTGGCAACTCACAACCTCCCATAACTCTAGCTCCAGAGGATCAGACACCCTCTTCTGGGCTCCTCCAGTACCCAAATACACATGGTTTATACTCACACAGTCAGGCACACATGCACATAAATAAAAGTAATTCTTATCACAGAACTATTTTATGCATATACAAGGAAATACAAATGTCTATTTGTTAATATAATTATATATAAAGAACCTCTCTTTTTTCACTATATAATATTCTATTTGAATGTATCATAAGTTAAATAGCCCTTTGCTTGGGGGTTTTGATTTTTGGAGGCAGGGTCTTGTGTAGCTCAGGCTGGCCTTGAACTTAACTCAGGATGAGCTCCTGATCCTCCTTCCTTGAGCTCCTGATCCTCCTTCCTCTGCCTCCCAAGTGTTAGGATTATAGGCATGTACTATAATCCTACTGAAACAGCTCCTTGTTTATGAACATGAAGATTCTTCCTAATATTTTTCTGTATGTTTTTATACCTATAGAATGAAATAATAGGATTAGCATTGCTGAGTTAAGAGGTCTGTGCAATTTTAATTTTGAGAAATAGAGCGAAATTGCCTTTCATGGAATTTGGACCAATTTTTTTATTTTTTATTTATTTATTTATTTTTGGTCTGAAACAGGGTCTCCCTGTAGCTCCAGCTGTCCTGGAACTCACTATGTAGACCAGGCTGACCTTGAACTCACAGAAATCTGCCTGCCTCTGCCTCCCGAGTGCTGGGATTAAAGGTGTGCACCACTACGCCTGGCAGAAGCTGTTTTTTCTATTATAATACTTCATGATGCTACCTCATTTGACATAAAGGTGAACCAAAGCTGTGCCTAGAGCTCAGTGTTGGCATTGCAAACGTGATGGAAATCATAGATTGTTTATAGAGATTTTTGGTGGAAAATCTAAGCCTGGTATTTAAAACTTTACCATAGTTATTTTACATCAACAGTAGTTTACTCTAATGCTAATGGTTTTGACTGATTCATTAATATCTATGTCTTATTCCAGTAAGATTTGAGTAATCTCAGTTATGATGTTCTCTTGCATATACATATATGATAAGTGTTTCTCATGATTTAAATTGTTTGTTTGTTTAGCTCATGTCCCTAATGCCAAAAATGCATCTCCTCTTCCCTCTGACTCTGGTGAGGTCATTCTGGAGTGACATGATGGACTCTGCACAGAGCTTCATAACTTCTTCATGGACTTTTTATCTTCAAGCTGATGATGGAAAAATAGTTATATTCCAGGTGACAACTGTGCCTCATCTAAATACCAACAACAGTAAATGTACTTGTCTTCAATGAGTGTCTTGGATTAGAACCATGTAATCAGTCATTTATAAATATTTTTGTCAAATAGCGCTTATTTATTTAGGCTTCATGAAATTATTGGGCATCAGGACAAGTGTAATTATCTTTCCTTCTGTCCCTTTGGAAGCCATATGTAAAGCTCAGTAGTTCTTATCTGAGTCTCCTCAATTTTATAGTGGCTAAATTGATTAAAATGAAAATTTTAGATAGGATATAAGAATAATATACTTTGAACATAGTGACATAGAAAACATAAATGCTGGAAAAAAGCGTCATGACATAATACTTAGTTGTATGTAGTACTTTTCCTCCCACCTCTGGTAAGAGAACTTGTTAAAGATGTATTTTGCCTTCTAAAGAGGTAACTTTTCTCCTGTCTAATAATTTACCATGGGATATGATGGTAATAAGTGTTTCCTAGGTTATATACTAGGCATTTCACATATGTGGTTGTCCTGGAATATCTGTGAGGGATTGGTTCCCAGACTCTAATTAGGCATGCCAGTATTTGGGGATGTTTTGTTTAAGTCCCTTACATAAAATGGCATTGTATTTGCATATAACCCACCTTTCTCATGTGTAGTAGATGTCACTTAACAGTAGAGACAATCTGAAAAAATGTATCATTAGGCAAGTTCATTGTATGAACATCGTAGAGTGTATTTCAACTGAGATGGCTACAGGATTGCTAGGTGATAATGTTACAGGACTTCTGTTGAATATCCAGTCCATTGACTGAAATGTCATGCAGTGCATGATTATACTTTAAATCATATCCAAGTTGCTTATAATACCTGATACAGTGTGTAATCTGCACAGATAATTATTACACTGTGTTGTTTAGTGATACAGAGAGTCTGTACATACTCGATACAGATTTTTTTTCCCAAATGTTTCAATCCATGATTGGTTTAGTCATGAAAATGGAACACAGTGACAATGAACCCATGGATGTGGAACACTGACTGTATTTGAAATCTTTTTTTTTTTTTTGGTTTTTTTGAGACAGGGTTTCCCTGTAGTCCCAGCTAGTCTGGCACTTGCTATGTAGACCAGGTTGGCCTTGAACTTGCAGAGATCCTCCTGCCTCTGCCTCCTGAGTGCTGGGATTAAAGGCATGTGCCTCCATGCCTGGCTGAAATCTTCAATTTTTTTTTTTTTTTTTTTTTTTTTTTTGGTCTTTTTGAGACAGGGTCTCCCTGTAGCCCCAGCTGTCCTGGAACTCCCTATGTAGACCAGGCTGGCCTTGAACTCACAGAGATCCGCCTGCCTCTGCCTCCCGAGTGCTGGGATTAAAGGCATGTGCCACCATGCCCGTCTTCTTCAAATTTTTTATGAGGTTGTATTACCCCTGTTTATTGATGAGGAAGTGGAACATCTAGCTTGTGTGAGGTTATGCTGCCAATTAACAATAGTAGTCGGCTCAGCCTCAGGGTATTTTAGCTGCAAGTTCCAAATACCACTCCATCATGCTATTTCCTTTTCATTCAGTAAAATCCTCATATTTACTAGTCTGTAAATTGTATTCTGACACTATCTTGTTATTGGGTAACAAGGTGTAGTTTTGTGGGTTTTTGTTTTTGTTTTTTTTCTTTTTGAGACAGGGTCTTCCTGTAGTCCCAGCTGGCCTAGAACTTGCTATGTAGACCAGGCTGGCCTTGAAACTTACAGTGATCCGCCTGCCTCTGCCTCCCAAGTGCTGGAATTAAAGGCATATGCCACCTTTCCCAGCACAAGTTGTACTTTAATTATTGCTAGTTAAATGGTTTACTGTATGGCTAGTTTATTATGGTTAGCACTATCCTGAGTTTGGGCACTTAATTTGGTAGTAAGAAAACAAACAAAAAAAAAATCTCTTTTAATTTGTGAGCATGTTCTATTCCCTAAAGCTATTTACATGAAAACCAAAGTTGACACTCAAGCATAAAGCCCTCCCTAATTCCTCAGTAGATGTGTGATTCGCTGTTTCTCTCTAAAAATATGTGTCAACTTGAATGTAACTTAGAGAAACTCCCTTTCCAGAGGACCAGAGCTGTATGAAAGATGTAAAGTATGGAATATTTGCCTGTAATATCTGAATTATTCCTAGTTAGAAAAGAATGGAATAGTACAGATAAGAGATATTATATGTTTGACAAAAGTTTGAGGTTGGAGAGATGGCTCAGCAGTTGAGAACACTGGTTGCTCTTGCAAAGGACCTGGGGTTGATTCCCAGCTCCCACATGGTAGCTAACAACCACCTGTAACTCCAGTTCTAGGGAAATTCAACACCCTCTTCTGACCTCAGTGGGCATTGCACAGTTTGGATACACTTACATACATGCAAGCAATACATTCATACAGTTAAAATAATAAAATATTTTATAATAAGTTAGGACAGGTTGCTGAATTATTTCTATTCAACTAAAATTGGAACTCATTTTTGTAAGATAATAGTATTTAATAGATATTTTGTCATAATTACTCTACCACTCTTTAATCTGTATTCCCAGCTGTCCTGGAACTCACTTTGTAGACCAGGCTAGCCTTGAACTCAGAGATCTCCCTGCCTCTGTCTCCCAAGTGCTGGGATTAAAGGGGTACACCACCATGCCCGGCCTTTAAAAACTTGTACAATTAAATTCACTAAGTAGCTGATAATATTAGAAATATATGTCTTTCCAAGGCACTGAACATGATTTTTTGAAAAATACTGTGGTTAATTTTTTTTTTTTTTTTTGGTGTTTTTGAAACAGGCTCTCTCTATAGCCACAGCTGGCCTAGAACTCACTGTGTAGATATGTAGACCACACTGACCTTGAACTCACAGAGATCCTCTTGCTCCCAAATGTTGGGACTACAGCCATGTACCACCATGCCCAGCTAATGTGTTTTATTTTTTTAAACCATACTTTTGTTACTTTTTCTCAATTTAAATGTTTATAGAGGTGATATGTTATAGAACTTGTTACCAAAAAAAGCTTAAGAGGTACAAATGACTTAACTGCTTTCATTACCATTTTAGTCTAAGCCAGAAATTCAGTATGGCCCACAGTTGGAGCAGGAGTCTACAAGTTTGAGAAAATCATCTTTAAGCAAAATGTCCTGTAAGTTTTATTTTAAATAGTTGGATAAAAACATTTGCTATCAGATCTGCTGTATTTGCCCACCTCCAGATTTCTAATTTACTGAGTCTGGGAATTAATCTGAGGGTTAGCATTGCTAACAAGTTCCACATTTTGTTGATACTGCTAGTACAGGGACTGCACTTAAGAACCACTATTCTAAAAACAGTTTGTTTCAAAGCATGTTTTGAGTATGAACTAACCAATTACTATTTTTTTCCAATAAACTAACCAAATAATAAAACCACCCTGAAACTATGAGGTCTCTGTTCTATTTCCACATAAAACATCAACAAAGTAGAGTTTGCTATAAAATTTATGAACTACTTAATTTAGAGACTGATACAATTAATCTTCTGATTGTATTGTTGGGTGGGAATGAGCAGATAATGGTAACAGATCATTGTAATTAGATTAGAATAAACCAAGTTATATTATTCAAGCCCACATGTAATTAAACAGAAAATATCAGTATCAAAAACATTTTAAAGACAGGAAACCCATAATATGGAAGAATTCCCATTTGGGTTTTGGTATGCCAAAGGAATTTCACACATTATAGACTGTGTCAAATTAGACTCCCCCAAATTATCTGTAGACTATGTCTATCTGGAAGTCAGTGAGTTTAGCATTTGGGATGTGTGGTGTCAGACACATGTTCCTTATTATCTCAGCAGATCTGCAAATGAGAAGCTCACAGGCACACAGGAGCTACCTTGAAGATGAAGAAAGTGATGGCCTTCTAAGATGCCTCTCTCTGTATGTATTTTTCCTTTATATGTATACTAAAGATAAAATCAGGTTTATGTCAAAGTCTTTCCTTTGTGTTACTTTTAAATTAGTAATTCAAAAGTTAAAAAAGACAAAAAGCAACAGCAAAAACCTTTTCATCTTTTCCCTTCCAAACTTGTGCTTTTGAATATTCTAGTTTGTTTAGAAGGTAAGAAGTGTACTATTTTTTAAATTGGCACCTAATTATACAAATGTATGGGATACAGTGTGATGTTTTGGTACATGTATGCATTGTGTAATGGTCAGACAGGATAATTAGCATTTGCACCACCTCAGGCACTTATCATTTCTTTGTGCTAAAACATTCAAAATCCTCTAATGGCAGTTTTGAAGTATGTGATTCATTATTGTGAGCTGTGACCACACTGTTAGAAAAGGACAGAGCTTATTCTTATCTCAGTGTAACTGTATCTGTTGACCAGCCTCTCCTCAACACCTCTCCCTGCTATGTCAGTAAAACCTGAACAGATGGCTGCTTTTTTTTTCAACAGATGGCTTTTTTTCCAAGTATACAAAGTATTCAGGTCTCTTGATTTAAATTAAGAAATATGCTTCTCCAGACATTGAAATTACATTCCATTGGGGCTTGGAGCTGGCTTAGTGGGTAAAGGTGCCTGCTTCCAAGCCTGATGACCTGAGTTCAATCCCCAGGACCCACAAAGTGGAAGGAGAGAACTGATTCCAAGGTGTCCTCTGACCTCCATACATGCACCCACATACACAATTTTAGCATTTTATTCATTTGTATGTGTAAATGTGCAGGCACTCATATCACAGTCCCTTTGTGGTGGTCAGGACAACTTAAGGGAGTCGATTCTTTCCTCCTCAGGTCATCATATTTAGCAGCAATGCCTTTACCTGCTAAGCCATCTCGCTGGTTCAAGTCTACCTCTTTTGAAGGGAGACAAGCAGTGACTGGGCATATTTTACATGGAAGTGTTAACAAAACCATGAATGAGTTCATGGTGATCTAATGGTATAAATTCTTCAACAATGAACATACATGTAAAAATTAGGGACTGTCTATATATCATATAGGTTTTCAAAATCCTGACTTCCCTATACTGTAAAATTTTTAAATTATTTATTTTTATTTTGTGTGTACGAGTGTTTTGTCTGCATGTATGCAAGTGCACCACATATGTGCAATTCCCATGAAGGCCAGAAGGGTATGTCAGATCTTCCAGAATTGAAGTTACAAATGGTTGTTAGCTGCCATATGGGTGCTGTGAACTGAACCTGGGTCTTCTGGAAGAACAGCCAGTCCTCTTAACTGCTGAACCCCCAGATTTTTTTTTATATCATAAGGAAAATATAATGGTTACAAAATGCCATATAATAGAATTACTCTTAAATTCAAGTATAAGTAAATTTTAGCAAATTGAATACTTGAAATGTTGTAAGAAAAGTGACTTCAGGAAACTTGTTTTGAATCCTTTTATAAAACTGGTCATTTTAGCCAGGTGTGGTGGCATATACCTTTAATCTCAGCACTTAGGAGGCAGAGGCCAGCCTGGACTACATAGCAAGTTCCAGGCCACCTGTGGCTACAGGGAGACTCTGTCTTAAAAAACAAAACAAAACAAAAACCTTGATCATTTTATAATTTATTCTATATCTTAACTTTTAAGGATATTTTCTTAAATTAGTATTACTGTAATATCTTTCAAAGTAATAGATATTATGTTCAATTTATAGGATCTTACTTGCCTTGCTTATTTAGTAATTAGAGCATATACTTCAGGTTTGGTGGCCTAGACCCGAAATTCCAGCACATGGAAGATAGAGGCAGAAGGATCGGGAGTTTAGGGTCAACCTTAGCCACATATCAAATTTGGGTTGGCCTGGGCTCCATGAGACCTGTCCTAGTTTGTTTCTCCATTGCTATGACAAAGCACTCTGACCAATACAACTTGGGGAGGAAAGGGTTTATTTGGTGTACATCTCCTGGGTCACAGTTCATCAGGGAGCCCAAGGTACAAACTCAGGGCAGGAACCTGGAGGCAGGAGCTGGAACACGGGCCATGGAGGAACGCTGCTTACTGGCTTGCTCTCCTGGGCCAACCCCCCTCCTGCTTACTTAAACAGTGCAGAACAGCCTGCCCAGGGGTGGCACCGACAGTGGTGTCGCATCACTCAAAAATCAAGAAAATTCCCCACAGACATGGCTACTACAGACATGGCCACAGGACAGTCCAATGAAGACAATTCTTCAATTGAGGCTCCCTCAACCCAGGTGTGCCAAGTTGACACTAAAGCTGTCCAGCACAAGACCCTATCTCAAATACATTTTTTTTTAAAGGCTCCTGAAAATAATTAGATGGGCTGGGCGTGGTAGTTCACACCTTAAATCCCAGCACTCCGGAGGCAGAGATAGGCGGATCTCTGTGAGTTCAAGGCCAGCCTGGTCTACATAGTGAGTTCCAGGACAGCTGGGGCTACAGGGAGACCCTGTCTCAAAAAGACCAAAAAAAAAAAAATAATAATTAGATGGAATTTTATACACATAGTAGAAAATCAGTATGTCTGATTTTATCATTATTGTAACAGTTATATAGCCAGGCTATAAAAACTTTAAGATAGAAGAGCAGTACATGTAATGTAATAGATGTCATATTTCACTCAAATAAGACAGGGCACAAAGTTTTGTATTCAGGTAAGTGTATAAGGCTGATTATTTCTAATTATTGAGTCTCCCAGTTTTTTATTACAAAATCTTAATATACTAATTGTTGTTCTTCCAGTAACTCTGGGTGGATTTTAACAATGACGCTTGTCCTCTCGGTGATGGTGTTGCTCTGGATTTGTTGTGCAGCTGTTGCTACAGCTGTGGAGCAGTATGTTCCCCCTGAGGTAAATCTAATTCTAACCCTTGGGCTATTTGAAGACAGAGCCGTATGAAAAGCTATGTTAAGTGCCTTGCTCCTTTAACTAGAGAAACAAGGCCCTCTATGAATAGGAGAGACTTGATAGTTTACTCCAATTGAAGTAGGCACACATGAAAACTCCAAGTTTGCAAACACAGAAGAATTGTTCCCAGTTTTCTGTGTTGATATGTATGTTAATTGGCTTAAACAAAGTGTCTCTCCCTGCTTCTGAGACTGAAGAGAACTATTGGCATTGTTCTCTAAGCTGGTATATGAGAGAAGACTTATAAGAACCTCTTAAAATTGTGAACTAATTGCCATAAATATTAAGGGGTAAATTTTGATATAGAAGCTACAAAACCAGTCTTTGATTCTGAGTTACTGTGTTCTGGTAGTTATTATGTTACTGTGTTCTGAGAGATTGCAATTTCCTTGGTAATTAAAATTTATCTGGCACAAGAAGCTGGGCATGGTGACACATGCCTTTAATCCCAGCAGAGTCAGGTGGATCTTTTTGAGTTCAAGGCCAGTCTGGTCTACAGCTGTGGCTACAGGGAGACCCTGTCTCAAAAGACCAAAACAAAAAGAAGATCTATGCTATATGTTGGAGTTATCAAGGTTTTACATAATAGGGGGGTCTTGACCTGAACCCTGAAGAATAGGTAGCCCAGTGTGGATTAACAGAATGGAAAGTGTATGGTTTTTCCCAAGTACATAAAAGAATAAGATAACAATTAAGAGAATTAGAATTAATCTGTTTATTTTTAATTTTAATTACACTTATGTATTTATTTGAGTTTGTGTGTGTTGCTCACACATCTCTGCACCACAGTGTGTGGAGGTCAAAGGACAATTTGTAGGAGTCATTTCTCTCCTTTCTGGGGTTCAAATTCAGATTGTCAGGCTTGGTGACAAGCATCTTTACTCACTGAGCCATCACACCAGCCAAAATTCAACTAGTTTGTATTACAAGTGTACTGATGACACTACTGCTACTTCTTCTTGCAAACACAAGTTCCCTGATAAGTATATTTTAATATATTCACTTGTATTTCTATTTGGTGGTTCAGGAGCTCGAATCTAGGGCTTTCCAAATTCTAGCAATGTCCCACCACTGAGCTACATCCCCAAACCGTAATACTTATTTTTCCTGACAGTGCTGAAATTAGGTATCTCACATAGAATTGATTTTGACCTCTACTCCCCTTTGAGCCAATTCATGCACTTGAAATCTTTGTGACAACAAAGCACCAAAACTGTGGTAATAGATCTTTATTGACTTCACCCCTGTGAAACACTGTTCCCCTCCTTCATAATCCCTATTTCTTCCTTTTACCCCTGGAAGATGTATTGTGAAATAAAGATACACATTAGCAGTTACCAAGACTAAACTGCTGGCTTTGAATGGGATTTACCTTGATAGATTCCTGTATCCTATGTTCCGCCCACCAAGCTTAACTGACTTAAGCCCCTTCTCCCAGGCACTGTTGGAAGTGTTTTATGTGTCTGCCCCTTTAATTCTCACTGTAACCCACTAAGGTCGCTGCTTTGTCGCTCCCATTTTCCAGTTAGGAAATTGTAAGAGTTTGCAGTTGCTTCACATACTAGAGAGTGGTAGAACTGCAACAGTAACTCAGTCTGGCTCCAGAGCTGTCACTCTTTATCTGGCCTACAGTCGTAACTAAGGCAGGTAGCTAGCCTCATATCAGGAGCTGCTATCTTGTGTGTCTGCTTTGACACTGGAAAGGTAACACCTCTGGGCCACATGATTCAATATTTTGAGCCCTGATGCTGAACGGTTCTTAGATGGGTGGTATATGGTTTGCCCTCTCATCTCCTTGCTTGATTAGGAAGTTCCTCCTTGTGATCTCACCTAACAGTGACCCTTGATCTCTCTTCTTTTTTTTTGGTCTTTTTGAGACAGCGTCTCCCTGTAGCCCCAGCTGTCCTGGGGCTGGCCTCGAACTCACAGAGATCCACCTGCCTCTGCCTCCCAAGTGCTGGGATTAAAGGCGTGCACCACCACACCCAGCTGATCTCTCTCCTTTTTACATGATGTCACTACTGTGATGTTTGTTTTGATGATATAATTCTTTTGTCCCTTCTAAATTCTTTGGGGGAATACCTCACTTAAAAGTGATTAAAGTTTTTGCTTTTGTTCTTTTGTTTCAGTATCTTTTTTAAAGCATTTTAAAATTTTTTTTACTTATTCTTATTTATAAGTATATGTGTGTCTATATGTACACCACATGTGTACAGTGCCTACAGAGGCCAAAAGAGGGCATTGGATCCCCTGGAACTATAGTTATAGGTAGTTGTGAGCTGCCTGATATGTGTGCTGGGAACTGAACCTGAGGGCTCTGTAAGAATAGCAAGTGCTCTTAACTGCTGAACCATCTCCCCAATTCTCCAGTCCCTGTTTTTAGTTGTTTGTTGTTGGTGGTGGTGGTGGTCTTTTTGAGACAGGGTTTCCCTGTAGCCCCAGCTGGCCTGGAATTCACCTATATAGATGAGGCTGGCCTCAAACTCACAGAGATCTCTCTGCCTCTGCCTCCCAAGTGCTAGGATTAAAGGCATGTGCCACCACACCCAGCAAAATTAACAATTTGAGGAATTTTTATGTTTATAAAGACCTTCCTAGTAGTGTTAGAGTGTTTCATTTATAGTCTTTGTTCTTTTATTTATTTTATATAGTCTTTGTTCTTATAGACATTTAAAACAGTACATCTCATTTTCCATTGTAAATTAAACATTTAGTAGCATAAAACTGCACTGAATCATTTCATACTCAGTAGGAGAGTTATGGTCATAAAGGACTTGAGATCACTTGCAGCATCCACCAAATCTCCAGGATGAGAACTCTTGAGTGACCACATTAACTTCGTTTAAACCTAAGAAATTTTACTTAGTACTTATTTGTATACCTGTAAGAATTTTAAGTTTGGGACATGAAGAAAAGCTTCTTTGGCCATCCACTGGGGGCCCAGTCTCATCTATAAAACATTCTTCATTCTCAAAGACATGTATAGAATTGTTTAAACCAAATCCATAGATTAAACGGTGTGTGTTGTTTTCTGTTTAGTTGGTTGATTTTGTTTTTGAGGCAGTGTCTTCCTAGATAGCCACGGGTGACCTGAACTTTGCAGCAAGCCTCCTTCCTGTGCCACCTGAGCACCAGGATTACAGGTTTGCACCACCATGGCCAGCTCTGTAGATTGAATTATTTGGAAACTTGGTAAAATTTTTAATTATCCAAATTAATAACGTGCATTGATTTTTCTTTTACAGAAGCTGAGTATCTATGGTGACTTGGAATTTGTAAATGAACAAAAACTAAACAGATACCCAGTCTCTTCTCTTGTGGTTGTTAGATCTAAAACTGAGGATCATGAGGAAGCAGGGCCTCTACCTACAAAAGTGAATCTTGCTCATTCAGAAATCTAAGCTTTTTTAAAGAAATTGTGTCATTGACACCTAAATTTCCATTCCTCATAGAGCTTTTTAAAATGGTCTCATGGATATAGGCCTTAAGAAATCACTATAAAATGCAAATAAAGTTACCCAAATCTGTGAAGACTGTATTTGCTGTAACTTGACCTGTATTTTTTTTTCTAGTAATTTAAGACATGGACATTGGGGTGTTTTTATTACTAATATCTGTAGCTATTTTGTTAGTTGCATTGGTTTTTGTTTTTTCCTTTCCTAGCCACATTCTATGAGCTGATTGGTCCCTACCTCCTGCCAGAATACTGTCAGCCATCTTAGTTAATGAGCTGAATGCTTAAGATATGATGCTTCTACTCAAAAATGGCCTACAAACTTGTACTTTGAATTAGCAGAAAACTGTCTAATAACACTACATTTTCAGTTGTATTGAATTTAAATCATTAAAATTTTATTTGAGTAATTATGTACTGAAATTTGAGTATCTGATTTTCCTGGTCTTCATCCTTTCCCAACCCGGAGAACTATGAAGTGTTATGTATCTACTGCTTTCTAACAGGATGATGGCCAAGTTTGAAACAAAAAATAACCCTTTCAACAGTGCATTTGATGTGATTTGTTTGTTTATTGATATTGTATGTGTGTGATTGTGGGCATTTGCTTGCTACAACATACATGAAGAGATCAAAGGGAGATCCAGGACAACTTTCAGAAGTTAGTTCTTGCCCTCTACCTTTTTTTTTTTTTTTTTTTTTTTTTTTTTTTTTGTCTTTTCGAGATAGGGTCTCCCTATAGCCTCAGCTGACCTGGATGGAACTCACAGAGATCCGCCTGCCTCTGCCTCCTGAGTGCTGGGATTAAAGGCATGCGCCACCACGCCTGGCTCCCTTCCACTGTTTTGAGGCAGGGTCTCTCATCTTTTTTTCTGCTGCGGTACTGTGGTGACTCTTTTTTTATATGGGTTCCAGAGATCAAGCTTGGGCTGTCATGCTTGCAGCCTAGGACTTGCTGCCCACTGAGCATCTCTCCAGTGGTCCCATTTGATATGGTTTTTGCACAGGCTGTAAGTTTAAGTTGAAAGAATTTTTCCAAAGGAGGATTAAAATATAGCATCAAGATATTTTCAGAGAAAACTTCATTTTAACAGAATTATACTCACCATACAGGATTAAGTATAGATTTAATTTGGCAAAAACTAACATCATTACTCCTTTACTAACAATAATACAGATTTAAAAGAAGAATAGTGTCAAACACCAGAATCTTAATGTGATTCGGTGTCTTTACACCAAAATGGTAAATAGCTTTGTATACCAGTACTTCCCTTAATCATAGCATGACTGGCAGTTGCAATAGAACTGTCTTGGCAGACTGACCTACATACTCATTTCATGACTGAGTTTTCAGATTCTCCAAGTCAAAAAAAAATACAATTAACAACTAAATAAGTAAGACTTCAGTTCACAAAATCCTGGCTTTGGTTTTTTAAAATAGTTGATCTAGATTTGGAGACGGAAGGTTAGAAATGCAAACACATCCAGATGGAGTTAAGAGGAGTAATTACTGGGGCTGGAGAGATGGCTCAGTGGTTAAGAACACTGACTGTTCTTGTAGAAGACCTGGGTTTGAATCCCAGCACTCACATGGCAGCTAACAACTGTCCATAACTCTAGTCACAGGGGATCCGACAGCCTCTTCTGACCTCTGCTGGCATTGCGCGACACGGGTGTATTTACCTACATGCAGGCAATACACACAAAATAAAAATAATAAAATGAAAAAAAAGTAATTACTAAGCCATCATTCTCTCTTAGGCACAAGTATAACCTTGAAGCATCCAGTGAGACAAACCAATGGGAAAACAGGTGCAGAGGAGTGAGAACCATTGTCAGGAAAGGCCTTCCTCATGAAAACGATATATATTTTTTTCCACTTTCTCTTGGCTTTATTTCCCCATGCTTCCCAAACAACACATGCTTAGAAGGATACTTCGATTCATCTTGAAAGTGTTGATCTAAATTCAGTCAAATTATTTTTTCCTCATGTGTAGAAGAAGTACTCATTCCTGAGTATATCCAGGCACCTCTCAACAGTGCTCCCTTCTGGGGACCAAGCCTCAACACCTGAACCTTTTGTGAGGCATTTTATTTCTCAGCCTGGGTAGGCATAGCATATTATGAGAGAACATTGGAGAATCACTAATTCTGGGAGGACATGATAAGCCAAAATAAGCGATGTCCTAGGTAGTGGGAACAATATACTTAAGGGCCAGGAGGAAATAGGCTAGGGAACTGCAGATTGTTTAGCAGGCTGAGGTGTGGTATAGAAAGGACTAGAGAGACTAGATAAAGGATCTCATTAAACCTAAACTTGATTCTGAGCACAGTGGAGAGCCATTGCAAAGGGGTTGAGTAACAGGGCTGTGGTGTTTTAGAATGATTCACTCAGACAACAGTGTAGAAGTAGACTGAGGTAGACGTGGCAAATCTAGAGGTCAGCAATGTCTTAGCCTCATTGCTTGTTGTATGATGCTTGTACCCAAACCCAGGGCCTTGCTTATATTATGCAAGTACTCTACCTCTGGACTACATCCTAGCCCTTAGTTATTTCAGTCTCACTCTGTAACCTAGTCTGGCCTCAAACTAGTGATCTTCCTGCCTCAGCCTCCCAAATGCTAGGATTACAAGTGTGGACTCCTATACCCCACATCCATAGTTTAAATGCCCAATATTCCTGTATCTCTTTATTCTACTTACATTAATTAGACTCTTGGACCCTGGGTTGTGGTCACAATCTAAGTGGTGCCAAACAAACAGAAGACTGCTGTACAGATCCAGCTGCTGACTACACTGCTTCCTATTTGTCTGGGTTTTCAAGCCTCAGTGCCAGTCTGCTCACCACTATCAGTTCTAGGTTGGGAGGCTGGCCTCTGCACTCAGCATGCCCTTGGGGCCCTCCCCCGGGTTTCCAGTTGCTAAGTGTGTCCTGCTGCCTTGTTTGAGTATCAGCTCAGGTTACCTTTTTAATCATTCCTTGACTACTGTTCTAGATTAGTCTGGGGTTGGGGTGTGGCTTGTGATAAAAGGCACTGGGAAACGGGTTGTCTTTCTGTGGAAAGCCAGCTGGTACTGCTTTTGACTTTGTAGTAGTGACTTCTTAGGTACAATTTGTATTTTATTTGAATTTCCTAATTATCAAAGCCAATTTGATATGCTTCACTGCTGAATACCTTTCCTGTGATGTTAGTGACTTTTAGATCAGGGATTCTTTATGGGGATGGGGGTGGACACATGGGTACAAGTGAGGTCCTCCTTTCTGCCTCCTCAGCACTGCGACTACAGGTGTGTGGCACCACGCCCAGCTTTTTTATATGGGTGCCACGTCCAGTTTTTTATGTGGGTGCTGGAGACCTGAACTCAGTTCCTCATGTTTCCATGGCGAGCACTTTAATCTACTGACCCATCTTCCCAGTCCCCTAGAAAAGGAATTCTTAACCTTTTGTGCCACAGACCTTTTTGAAGATCTAAGGAAGTGTATGAACCTCCTTCCCCAAATAATGTTTTCAAATGCATAAAACTAAAGGTAAAGGATTGCAAGGAAACTAAATATAGTTACCAAAATATTTCCAATACTTTGTGATACATACCTACTTCCTATTAATACAAAATAAGGTCAAAGCGTGGTTCTAAAACTTCCTGTGATCTCAAAGTACTTTTTGTCTCATTTTTGTTGTTGTTTGCTTTTTGTTTTTAATTTCATTTATTTTTATTTTGTGTGTATGAGTGTTATGCCTACATGTATGTAAGTGCACCCATGTTGTGCAGTGCCTACAGAGGACAGAAGAGGGTGTTGGATCCTCTGGAACTGGAGTTACGGATGATTATTAGCCGCCATGTGGGTTCTGGGATTCAAACCTGGGTCTTCTTCAAGAACAGCCAGTGCTCTTAACCACTGAGCCATCTCTCCACTCCCTGTTTTTGTGGGGTTTTTGTTGTTGTTGTTGTTGTTGTTGTTGTTGAGACATGATCTCCCTGTAGCCCCAACTGACTTGGAACTCACTATGTGGAGCAGGCTGGCCTCAGTCTCATAGAGAGCTGCCTACCTCTGCCTCTTGAGTGCTGGGATTATAGGCATCTGGCTTCAAAGAACTTTTTTTTTTTTTCGTCTTTTTGAGACAGGGTCTCCCTGTAGCCCCAGCTGTCCTGGAACTCACTATGTAGACCAGGCTGGCCTTGAACTCACAGAGATCCACCTGCCTCTGCCTCCTGAGTGCTAGGATTAAAGGCATGCGCCACCACGCCCGGCCAAAGTACTTTTTAAAAAAATTTATTATTTTCACTTTATGTGTATGAGTGTATTGCATGCATGCATGTAAGTGCACCTGCTGTGCAGTGCCCATGGAAGTCAAAAGAAGGTGTCAAATCCCTTGGAACTGGAGTTTCAGATGGTTGTTAGCTGCCATATAGGTACTAGGAATCAAACCTGGGTCTTCTGCAAGAGCAGCCAGTGCTCTTAACTGCTGAGCCATCTCTCCAGCCCCTCAAAGTACTTTTAAAGTAATGTTTTAAAACATCTGCAACAACATGCTCTCTTTTGGTAATGAAGTCACAGACACTACTGAAAATCCCAGGGCTGGGGGATTATCTGCATTTGTAATAAAGGAAAATGCTATATTTCAGTTAAAATCTGGTTAAAAATTGAGTTAACTTTTTTCCCATCCAAGCTCACCAAATTCCTGCTTTAAGGCTTATCTAATTGTTCGTTGTCATTTTAAAAGCAAGTCATTTTTATTTCCTTGCTCAGTTTGAAATTATTTGGGTTTATAAAGCATCTGTGTGCTTTCTGTACCTGAATTGTTTCTGCAACATTAGCAATAATTGAGGATGAGTAGAAAGGAATCCATAGCTGATTAGAAATGAAAGGCTTCAACAAAAGCCCGAGATGGTGCTACCTGGAGGTGCTCCATGCTGTCATTACTAGAGCACCAGGCCTGTTAATTTCATAGTGCTCAGGTGTAGAAACCTTAATAAAATGTGCGTCATCTGCAATAAGCAATGTTATAATGCTGTCTTGTTGAAGTTCCTCTTTAGATAATTCATAGCAGAGGTTACTGACAACCTTTAGATCAATCTCCTATCTACTTACAGTGGAGCCTTCTGACATTCCTCGAAGGAAAGTAGGATGGACCTGAGCTGCTTCCTCTTACAGCTGACATGCAGACTCAGCTGAGAGAGGTGGACCACTGGAATCCCAGGGTTGTGGAAGGCATTGTGGAGGAGTGATCAATGCTGAGATGGGAATTGGATCGTTTGTTTATATTTATTTATTTATTTATTTATTTATTTATTTATTTATTAGTCTTTTTGAAACAGGGTCTCCCTGTAGCCCAGCTGGCTTGGAACTCACTATGTAGACCAAGGGCAGGTGGATCACCATAAGTTCAAGGCCAGCCTGAGCTACACATTGAGTT